ACATACACTCAACCTGGCAGGTTCAAGCCCGGCCTAGACCTGCTAAATAACAATGACAACTGCAACCAAAAAAAATAGCTGGGTGTTGTGGTGGGCACCTGTAGTCCCAGCTGCTTGGGAGGCTGAGGCAAGAGAATTGTTTGAGCCCAAGAGTTTGAGGTTGCTGTGAGCTGTGATGCCAGAGCACTCAACTGAGGGTGACAAAGTGAGACTCTGTCTCAAAAAAAAAAAAATCTTAAAAATACCTAAAGTTCAACAGGTTTTGTGTTTGAATACATACACAAAATGTTGTTGCTGGAAAATATAATTGTGAGTTTCAATAATCAAAATGTTTTATTGATGCCAAATTTTTAAAAGGTATCTATTAATTACAGTTGGAATTATTTGTCAAACTAGAAGCATAGATGTCAGTGTATTGAAATGACTGAGACCATATACAGGGCAAATTACATGAAAAAGTTAAATTTCATGTGACATTTTCTTTTGCAGCTTACGAGAGTGTAAATACAAAAAAATGCTATAAAGTTATGTATATATTTAATGATGTCTATAAGAATTTTGCCATGACTGAAGAATTTGGGGGGCATGTTACCCATTATAAGCATACCGAGAATTGGTTTACTTAGGTTTGTGGAAAAAAATCTTAAAAAGTATAACATAAGAAGATCACAATTAGTACCTGTGAGTAGTTGTCAATTAGACTTGTTAAAATGTGCATCCAATGTGCAAAGTTTTACAGGGATTCAGACTTTACATTTGTTCATTAGCAGATCCACCAAGAATTATTTGCTTTGTATTATAAGGCTTAAAAAGAGAATTTTATGAGCATAGTAATTGCCATTCCCTCACCCCCCAAATGGCTTGAACAACAGACAGTTCAAAATTAGAGGAAAAGGGGTGTATAGCATGATGGCCAGCTTCATTTTATGAATCCAGGTGCCTGAGGGAAGACAAGATACTTAGCTCAAATGTAAAATCCACTATACAGATTCAATCATGTCTGGAGAAGAATCAACTCATTTCTTTAAGATACTGACTAAAAGTAAATTACTCACCTCATTCTCCCTTTCATGTTCTTCACAGCATTTATCAGTATTTGTTAAATACTATTTTCCTTACTTATACACCCTGTTAAAGTTAACCTATAAAATTTTGTACTTTGGCGCTAGAATTCCAAACATAAGACTTTACATTAACTTTGGTGCAGAAGAAAATATGTTAGGTGTCTGATGTGCACATCAAAATAACAAATAAGTTATGAAGGGAAATTATAATCATTGATTATTGTTACTTTTAATTTGAATATTTTTCATTTTTAGTGTAAAGTATCACTAGTATGAACTTTTGCTTTATTATCTCATATGCTCACACTTTAATTAAATAAAATTGCATAACTTTTTCGGTAGTTTATTTTTCTTACAATTAGCTTGATTTGTTCATTTAAGTTACCTCTCGAGGGCTGGGTTTCCTGGCTCACACTGGTAATCCTAGCACTCTGGTAGGCCAAAGGCAGGTGGATTGCTTGAGCTCACAAGTTGGAGATCAGCCTGACCAAGAGCAGAACCCTGCCTCGAAAAAATAGCTGGGTGTAGTGGTAGGCACCTCTAGTCCCAGCTACTCAGGAGGCTGAGGCAAGAGAACAGCTTGAGCCCAAGAGTTTAAGGTTGCTGTGAATTATGACAAAGGGTGACAAAATAATACTTTGTCAAGAAAAAAAAATTTAATGTCTCTCTCAATCTCCTGCAGGCATCCGAGTTTGTAACATTTGTACAAGATAATATCGTTAGCTATTTTTCCGCCTGCCTCTACTATCTACCCTTCAAGAGAAGGAAAGGTTTATTGGATGTTTAGAAGACTGTCACTGAAGAAAAAGACTTCTTTGGGTTAATTTCATTTCTGTTTACTCAGCATATACTATAGTAGTTATTCAATGAATGTTGATTAGATATATGGATGTATGGATGGACTTCAGTTGAAGACAGAACATATATCAAGAACTCTTAGAGGACAGAAGTTCCATTTAAATCCGATTTGAGTTTAGTATTGAGGATACTCATTCTCCTTTCCCTTCGACTTCTTGTTGACTCTTCTCTGCCTTAGATGCCTATACAACAGCTGAAGTAGTTTATTCTTGGACTCTTGGGAAGAACAAGTCTGTGGAAGTGGCACAGGACGGCTCCCGCCTGAACCAGTATGACCTGCTGGGCCATGTTGTTGGGACTGAGATAATCCGTTCTAGCACAGGTACTTACTTATTTTATTTAACCCACATTCCAGTCACTGTTCTAGGTGTTTATAACTTATATAATATTTTAAAAATATTGGAACAAAGGTATCATGAGGAAACTGAAGTTCGGTAATTTGCCCCATGTTGCAGTTACACAATGACAGAACCAGAATCTGATCCCAGGCAGATTGGCTTCCAAGACCATCGTCCTGCCTTAACCATTATCCTCTGCTGTCTCTTGGGGAGTGGGGGCAGAAGATCAAGGTGATTAATGATTAGTATGGAAGGAGGTTAAAAAGGCTACAGGGAGATAGGAGAGAATTCTTTCTAGACAAGAAAGTGGAAAGGGACCTGAAGGGAAAAGGAGGAATTTTGAGAGTGTGACTTAGTTAACCAAGCATGTGCTGTTCCTGGAAAATAGAACTTCTAGCCTGTGAGCCATGACCTCTAAGCCCTAAATGATCCCCCCATAAAACAAAGATAAGGATCCCTATCACAGAACAATGCACATTGTAATGCTACAAACATCACAAGACTAACAGACCATACCATCACTAGTAAAAAAAAAAACAGTCAATAATTATTGATACAGAATAACGAAATTTGGATTTATGTGACAACTGAGGTAATTCACACCCAGTGGAACTAGGACAGCACCTCTGGAAGCCTAAGAGGAAGCAATAGGAATTCTTACAGATGAATAGGAGGAATTGGGATGAAAGTATTAGTGAGTATTGCCTCTGTGAGAGATCTCCTCTCACTTATAAGGAGGACCCTTTCCCACTCTCCTGGTAAAGTCTATGCTTATCTATGCTTTTCTTTAAATAAAATTCTTATCTATGCTTTACTTAAAATAAAAATTACACTTCTTTCTTTGCTACACTGGCGTCCCAGCTGCCTCATTTGCACACTCCTCCAGTATCCTGCTCTTCCTTTGACTCAGCCGAACTTGCTAGTTCTGCTGGATGAATGGAGCCAGTCCACTGAACAGCTCAGAAGTGAACTCTCAACCTCTAACAATTAGAGCAGAAAAGGGAAAGCAGAGGGAGGCCATGCTGGGGGGGAAGAGATGAAATTTGATCCTAAAGGTTTTATCACGACATTTCCTCAACTCATTTCCTTAATAAAGACAATGCTGAGGTGGCACACCTCAGGAAAGGTTAGGTACACACCCAGAGATCCAAGGAGTAGCTATGGAACTGTTTTCTTAAATGGATAATCTATTGAAAGGTGTAAATGTTAGTGCCCAGGGATGGGGCTGCAGAGATGTTCAGGCCAGGTTTATTGAAAGGGGAGGGGTGATCTGCCTGGGCAGTGCAAAGGTGGCATCTGTGCCCCAGGGGCAGTTAGAGACCACTTTTATATGGAGCTATACAGGGGTGGGCACATGCCACAGCTTGCCTGGAAGGTTAGGGTCTTTTTGTATGAACTTCTGGGGGGTGAGACTAGCCAGATCCTTTCTATCTTTGTCTTCAGAAGAGAAAAGGGGATGGAGGAGGGGAAAGTGTCTGTGTGTAGCTATGTTAGCACCCCTCAACACCTACCTCAGAACAAAGCTAGTTTGGCAAAACCTGCCGGGTCTTATCAATGGCTATCATTGGATATTAACAAATGGAACCAGAGACTTGAATTCTACATCCTTCAGCTCTGCCCCTTTAGAAACTGATCAGTTCACCTGAACTGAGGCAGAAGGTACCCTGAATCCCAACTAACCTCAGGGTATTTGTCAAAATGCAATATAGACTGGGCACCGTATGTCATGTAACATTTTTTGCTATGAAATGATGGGAGCTTTCAACATGAACTTTCATAGTGTCTCTGTGAAATCACTCTTATAAATGAAGGATATTGGTGTGCTCTTTTGTTCATAAGCTGTTTGTTCCCATGTCACTATATGTCATCTTGAATGCCCCCTGTTCTCCCTCCACCCTAGGACCAGGACAGCATACCTGGAAAAAGAGCAGCCTTTGAAATGGATTTGAAAAATGAACACGGTTTAGAGATCTGGGATGAGTGTGAGGAAAGGTGTCAAAAGTTCAAAGACAGGAGAGAGCACAGCCTGTTGGGGAAGCTGCAAACTGTTCAGAATAAGACATCAAAGGAATAAGTATAGTGAGTGTAGGACTGCAGAAGGGGTGCTGGGGATGCTCTTCTCAGCTGGGGCTCTGGGGTCACGGCTGGCAGATCTCAACAGCAGGACCAGGCTGGGCAGCACAGGCAGGCAGGGCGTGCCTGGCCTGAGTCTGAAGAGTCTCCTCCCTCCCCTGGGGGAAGAGTTGGCTGCTGAGGCCATGAGGCCAGCCTTGGAGGAAGCAGTAGAGGTTGCCTGGCGCTGGATTTGAGCCTGTGAGCAGGGCATTGTCCTTGTCCTTTGGGCTATTTCATTCTCTCCGCAGATCCATCTCTCTGCAGCCAGATTGGCGGTGGGGTTGGGAGGGTGGTGAAAGTCTCCCAACCTGGTCACTGGTTCTGCCACCTCAAGCAGTGAGACAGGTGTCCGCAGGCCTCAAATGACCTCCTGTCCTTCATCTGTCTTACTATGCCTTATAGGGCAAAGGGAAACTTTCCCTATACCCTAAAAGTTCTCTGAAACATCAACTCATACTTATGGCAGATTAATAAGAGAAAGGTTTATTTACCAGGTGCACGGGGAGAATCACAGAGTGATTACCCAATACCCTAATGAAATCCAGACATTTTTACACCTATCTTTTTGGAGAGAAAGAGGAAATGAGGAGTTCAGGTAATTCTATTTAGGGGTGACTTATGGTGCTAGGGAGGACAAATGGGTGGGGGAAACAGATTGACTTGTAAATGATCCTCTTTGTTAATTAATTAATCTGAGGGACAGGTATTATATTCAAATGATTTAAGCCAGGTCCAGTTGCATTCTTGATTTTGTTTTCTACACCATATTGAGATAACAGGGAGAGGAAGGGAAGTTAATTGTGCTTTTTTAAATTTCGGATTGATACCAGGGTTCAAATGATTAGGTTACATTGTTTGCATTTGTTAGGCAAAGTTCAGGTTGTAGTTAAGCCCTGCACCAGGGGGGTGTGCTATATACCCTTACAGTGTGCACATTAGGTGAGGGCACACCAATATCCCTCCCTTCTCGCCTTCACTTGAATTTAATTTTGTTTTTCTCTCTTTTGGGCACGTAGTTGTTTATCTATTGGTTTTTCATATTAGTATTGAATACGTTGGATACTTGCTTTTCCATTCCTGTGATACTTTACTAAGGAGGATGTGTTTCAGTTCCATCCAGGTAAATACAAAAGATGTAAAGTCTTCATCTTGTGTACAGCTGAATAATATTTCACAGTATACATATTCCATAGTTTGGTAATTCATTTCTGGGTTGATGGGCACTTGGTTGTTCTTCTGACCTTTTGATTGGTCAGTTTTATTTATGCAAATAGAGGGAACACCCCCTTGCCTTCAATGCTTTTTTTTTTTTGGAATGGTTTTTAATTCAAAATATTATACCGAGGAGTCATATTTTGAGGTGAAATTTCTGAGCTCTTTCAGTCCCGTAAGCGTTAGAACAGAGAAGTTAGCTAGCATCCTACTTCCAGGGGAGCTGCTCCACCACACTGCTGTTGCCCTGCAGCTACTGCTCTGATCTCTCTTTCTGATCAGGCCCTAAGAGTACCCACTGTACTCTGCTCCCTTCCCCACTCCTTTGTGGGAGGCCGGGGGAAGAGATTAAAATCAAGGCTGCAGGCCTGTCTCCTCCCCTGCTGGGATTTCTACCCCTAGGGAAAGAGCTCTCTGCCTCTGTCCTCTCTCCTCACCTCCCTGTCCCTCCTGGGCACTGCTGCCTGGCATTATCTCTTGAAATCAATCATTGGTTACCCGAGCAGCCAGCTCCCTTTGCATTTGGTTTAGAGCAGTGTTTGTTTCATCTTTATCACATGGACAATACATGTTCAGGATGGGGAAATTAGAAATATGCAAAGGGGTAAATATTGGAAATTAAAATACTCTTTGATTCCACCATCTAGAACAGTCTTCTTATAATATTTTGGTACATTAACTGATTATTGTACATTTTGGTATTCAAGAAGGTTCCATTTTCATATTTTATATAAATAGTTTTGTATAAATGGAACCATTTATAAACAGGAATAATATTGATGCCATTTTATAAGCTGTTTCTTATTTAATTTTATATTCTAAACACACTTTCATATCACTAAACGTACTGGATCAAAATAAAATGGACACAGAATTTACTAACAATATGTTACCAATTAGAATGCATACACATTCATCGTTACCTGTTTTGGTTATTTTAAATTAACAAAAATTAAAAGTAAACAGCCTTCCCGTAAAGCCAGAACATTCTTGATATTGATGTAATTTATGATGTTACTGGGAAGTGCAGCATCTCATCATGAAACTTAGTGAAATAATATCTTTATTTGTAGTGTCCTCATGTATATGAATCACAACCTGTTTAACCAATTACCTGCTATTATGTTCTGTGGTTTAACGCTATAAAAAAAAAAAACTGTGAAGATCCTCCTTTTTCATATAATATTTTTCTCCTGTGTAATTATCTGCTTAGGATACAGACAGAATATTAAGATTGCTATTTCAGAAAGTAGACACAGTTAAAAATTGTTAATACATATTGACAAACCACTATTCTGAAAGGTTAAACAATTCACACTCCCATTATCAGTGTATGAGCATGCAGGTTTTCCCTCACCCTTGGCAACACAGCTATTATGGGTTGAACTGTGTCCTCTGAAAAGATGTTGAAGTCCTAACCCCCAGCACCTCAGAACGTGACCTTACTTGAGAATAGCATAGTTGCAAATGTCATTGTTTAAGATTAAGTCATAATTGTAATAGGGAGGGCCCTAATCCAATATAACAATGTAACTGATATCCTTATTAAAGGGAGGAATTTGGTCTCTCTCTCTCTCACACATACACACACATACACACATGCATGTGCATGCACACACAGAGAACAGCATGTGAACATGAAGGCAGAGTTTGGGGT